AAAAAATAAAAATTGCAATAAAGAAATATGATATTTAATAGCTTTAATTGCTTTTTCTCAGTTCAGAATTAAGTGCAGATTTTTCCTGTCAGTCCTCTGTTATATTATGCTGAACTGTACGTACACTGTGAATTATCAGGTGACTTCATCTCTTTCTAATGCATAGAATTAAGTTAGGATTGGTTATGAAAATGTATTCCTTCTGAATATTTGATTTACAGCAATGTTAATAGAAACTGAATAAGAAGTTGTCTGTCCTTGTCTTGTTAGAAAAAGTTCTAGATGAGTTTTTTCCAGTATCCGATTTAGGCATGAAAGTAAGGAAACAGGTTTCCCTAGGTTTGTATTATATCTGTTAGAGAATGAGGAGCTCCTCAAAGGGCATTTCAAACAAGCTGAACTAAGGTGCTTTATTATACTGTGCCTGGGTACAGGCTCCATGCGTTGGTGTATAAAGAGTATAGAGGAGTCATCTGGCTAATCTGAATGTCTGAAGTTGCATGGACTCTTACTTTGCCCTTACTTTGGTATACAAGTCCCTCTTACCTGCATATGCAAATTATTTTAGTAAAAGGTTTGTTTTCATGCTAATGCAATTGATGTGAGACATAGATAGACTATTAACAGCTTTAACAGTAAGACTTAAAATGTTTTCTGTTGATACTAGGCATTCACAAGTGGGCTCAGAAAGTATCTTCAATATTACCGAGCCTGTGTTTTGTCAACACCTCCTACTTTAACTCTTCTAACAATCAGCTTTCTCTTCAGAAAATTAGGTCGTCAGTTGAGGTAAGAGAATAATATTAAATACTTAAACTTTTCATAGAAGAAAAAATGCAATCTATTTCTTCATATACACTAAAAGAAACAATATTACATGGGCATTCTTACATAGTCTTTCAGTATTTTTCCTCTATTTTAACAGAAAGATTTCTTTATATCCAAAAGATTCTAGGGAAAACATGTAAGGTCTTTATATTCAGTTTCTTTGTTATCCCTGTTATCATTCAGCTGATACAGTAGGGTGGTTGTATGATATTCAACTTTGCTAAAGTTCATCACTGTGATCTCAGAGACTTCTGGTTGAAATTGTTACATATGTTTTAATACTGTTTTTTAGGTATTTAGCTGAACTTTGTGGCATAGGAACAACAGTGCTGGGGATCAGTGGTGGAGCTGGTGCTTCATTTCCTACGGTGATAATTAATTTGATGGTTTTATGCGTGGTTTGGGTTACAATGTTAATATTCTTCAAAATTAGGTAGGATTTTACATAAAATATTTAGTTTTGGTCTCTCTCTGCTACCAAAGATTTGACCTTGGACCTCCAGTTAGAATGCCATGATCCTTTCTCCAGTTATTTTAAAATCTGGAATTTTGTCCTGTGTTTTCAATTCCTAAAGTAAACAAAGGACTCAAAATAAGCCTTAGAGTGCATTTCATTTCATTCTAAAGGAGGTGTTTGTAGCAAGTCGGATGAATCCAACTCTAAACATACCTGTTTCCCTCCAGTGACTGTAAAGTGAGCTTGAGGTAACTAGCTCAGACAAAGTGATCTTAACTGCAGATAGCTAGAGGAAGTGAGATGAATCCTGCCTAGTGTGTCTAGTGAAACATGTAAAGCTGTGGTATTTATGACTCTCTTGTTATTCAAGTTGTAGTGAAGTTTGTTGCCTAATATTAGAATATTTTTCAACTTTTTTAGGGTGTTAAATTGCTTTCATATCTGTACAAAGAGGCTCTCAACAACTGTAGCAATGAGCATTATCCAGTTCTTCTGTCTTTGTTGAAGACAAGCTGCGAACCGTACACAAGGTGCGTCCATACTGTTCTCTGCATAATTGTGTTTAAGAGCAGTTCTGAATTAGTAATTTGGTGAGTAACTCTGCTAATTTAACAGTGGCTTTTAACATTTTTAGAGAAAATGTAAGATGTGGCTGTATCTGCAAAATACATATTAAAATTAGTTCGTTTTGCTGAATCCTCCTTTCCCTCTCTTTTCCAGCTCAGTAACAACATAAAGGTTTTATGTATGACTAGATTAGTAAATAAATACATATAAATAAGACTTCTTTCTTGCTGCTGGTCCTGAAAATTCATACCGGAATATAAGACTGATAAACTTCTGGTTTTTTTCCTTCTCATACCTGTAGTAAAATCCTGAAACTGGCAACTAACAGGTTTCTCTTGGTGTTGCACAAACTGGGAAAGTTCATGCTTACTTCCACTGTCTTTTTCTTGTGGGCTTTTCAGTAAGCAAAAATAAAAAAAAAAAAATTCTGTTGTTCATTAAGTAGATGTAACTAACTAACAATAGGAAGTAGAGTTCCTTGGGTTGCAACAGATTTGTCAAGCAGTGCACATCAATTTAGAAACTGTTAGTTGATAGACTTCTGAAGAGATGCTAATTTTTTTTTAAATAGCTATTTATAGGGATTATAGCTGTAGTCCGTCACCAGTTTACGATGGTATTTAATAGATGTAATGATACTAGAAAGAGAAAACCAAAATCTGTCAAAATGCTCTAAATTTAAGATTTCTCCCATGGCCACCCTTCTTGTTTTTCCTTCCTTCTACATAAAGTGTTCTTCAGAGAAATTTAATTTCAGATTTACCAGAAGACTCATTGAAATATCTTTACAGCTCCTGCCCTTCAATTTATAGAAGGTAGTCAGATTTCTGAAATATCAAGGGCAGGATGTCATGGCATCACAAGGAACGTAAAAAATATGAAAGTATGCTTACTAGTATGTGATACTTACAGCATTGACTCCTAAATTTGTTGCAGATCTCTATCGAACATCAATCATATATGATCAGGGCTGCTGTGGAAGGAGGCCTCCATTATCGGCAGAAAGTGTTATCCCACTCATTTATTAGCCTGAAAGAAATTAAATAATAGAAGTTGTTGCTCACATAAATCATAGAAACATGAGATTTAACACTTTAAAAGTTCTTAATCTTTTACTTACAACCTTAAAATTTAACAGTGGTTTCCTGTGCTAAATGCTTCCTGTTTGTTACACTGACCCAGGGTCTAGAAACAGTGTTAGTATTGCAACTAGTAAGAAAAGAAAAGATTAGCTTCAAGTTGCTCCAAGCCTTTTTATCTATAGCTTCAGATAATTGTATTTTTTTATTTCTTCAAAAGTTTGGTTTCACACAGAGGAAATATGAAAAAGCATAAATAAATATTCCAAAATAGTAGTTCTCATTATTGCATCTATATTAAAAATGTCTCTAGGTCCAGGGAAAAAGTGCTTGTTACTGCATTTTTGTTTTATACCCTTTCAGTTTCTCCCTGCTAAAGTTACCTCTCTTTAAAATAAATCTTTCCTGCTTATCTCTCCCTATGCATTTGAGGTGCTGCAAAGATTTCTAGCAATTTTTAATATAAACTTTGTAAATTAATGTACAGAAATAAAAAGATTGTTTTAATTAAGGCAATGTTCTTTCATGTTAACTAATTATCACTGAAATGTTCTAGATAAAGGTGGTGTCTTTTAAGAAAAATGTAGGGACACAGTCCTGTGTGTATCTTTAAATACCATTGTGAGAGCGCTTAATTGCTGGTTTTTATCCTGCCTATAGCTTGCGTGTTTCAATGTTTTAAAGAATATACTTACTCTTTGGTTATAATAAAGTTGAGAAGGCGAGAGGATTAATTCTCAATATTGTATAAATTTTTTTTTTTTTTTTTTTTTAGATTTATCTATGATTGGGTATACAGCGGTGTATTCAGAGACGTTTATGGAGAATTTATGATCCAGGTGAATGAGGATTATCTTTGTTTCAGAGGTACAGTATGTATATGGAGCATTTCTAATTTATATAGTTTGTGCAGTTAATTAAATAATTAAGAAGATATACTTTTATCTTTTTGTTTGATATGTAGATAAACATTACTGGACTCATGGCTACGTTTTGATTTCAAAAGAAGTAGAAGATTGTGTCCCTGTGTTTCTTAAACATATTGCTAATGATGTATACATATGCGGGAAAACCATAAATTTGCTGAAATTGTGCTGTCCTAGGGTAAGTTTTAGTTTGGGTCCTTCTTACCTTGAGAAAATCAGGTCTCTTTAGAGCAAGTTTCTAGGTTTTTAACAAGTTTGCTCCTTTATTGGAAACTGGTATTGCGTAAGTAGGATGTTGATTCATGAAAGGCAATTACTTGCTCTCAGATACTTGTGAGCTGGTTATCCACTCTACTTGCTAACACCTCACTGCTGAAATATAAATTTTTAACAGCGTCAAATTTATTGTATCCAATGCATGTGCTATATTTCTTATTTTCCTTTGTATTGAAAGCAGAAATGTTTTAGGTGTCCAGGCAAGTGCCTTCCGTTTTTCACACAACTCACACTACTATTTTTTGGTTTAAAGATGCCTTATTTACCAGGTCTTGACTCAGTTCTGCATAGCTCTTGTGTTTCAGCTCTATCACTACAAGTGCTTAAATAGTTCTGTTTATTCATATTTTGCAGAAGTCTTGTCCTTGGTAAGAAAAACCTGTTAAACTACTTTGTGTCTTCCCTCTTCTCTGTATGTCTAAAAATAAATAAATAAATAAGTAAAACAACCATAGCAGTGTCTAAAGTCTATAGGCACTCCTTCCCAAGTAACTAGTATTCTCTTTCTTTTTAAGATCAGAGCTGCCCAGTCTTGACAGAGCTGAGCAGCTCAGTATCAGATATCTGATGCCAGATATCAGGCATAAGCCTAATATCTCAAGTGAGATGACCCTCTGCTAGTTCTTCTCAGTCTGCTCTGATAAGCATTCTCAAACTGTGGCTCAGGTGTGCCAGTAGTATTGGGTTTTGTCAAAAACACTGTCAGCCATCATTTCCATTCTGCATTACAGCTTTATTAGTCACTAACGCAGTATCTTAATAGATAGAACATTCCCCCAGAATGTGTAGCACCAGGTTCAGTCATCTTCTGTCTGTCTCAGAGTACCAGTCACATTTCATCCCTTTCTGTGATAATGCCCTAAACAGCTGGCCCTTCCCTTTTGCTTAGGCTAACACAGTCCCAGGAACACAGCTCTGGGCATCCCATCTTCTGGCTTTTACCAGTAGACTGGGGAATCCAGTGTGAGCATGCTTGTGCACTCTTTTTTTTTAAAGCTCACATGTCTGTTTTCTGCGCTGAGTAGAACAGCTTCAGAGACTTAGGGTTGTTGAGGTGGAGCAGAAAGACGTAAGATACTTAGCTTAGAGAACAGGTACTCTGTGATGTGTACTGGCCATATTTTTGAGAGTTTTGTCTTGTGTAGAGCTCTCTCCTGTAGGTGTGTGTTAGTTATGTTCCAGACAGTTCCGATTAAGTGGGGATCAGTGGGGGATATAAGTGAACAAAACCTAACTTTTGATAGAAGAGATGCATTCAGTGCTGAGTTACTCAGACTCAGTTAATTTGGATATTCAGAAAAGCAAAATTTCAGGCACATGACTAGTATAAATGTATGTATCAGATTTTAGATTCCTGTCCAAGTCAGTGGGAAAGAGGGGACCCTGAGAATTTGACCTGCGATCCAAGTTCTGGAACATTATACCTCTGTCTCCTACTTTGAATGATATAAATGCTGAACCCGATGATATTAATAAAAATTTTAGATCCTGTGTGGAGGCTTGTTTCAGTATCTAGAAGAATTGCTAAGTTAAAAAAAGTATATAATGTGAGTTTATAATCTAACATTTTACAATTAAAAAAATGTATTTAAAAGGAAATTTCTCATTTTTCAGCATTATATATGTTGGTCAGATATACCTGTTCCCCGGATTTCAGTTATTTTTTCGCTTGAGGAGCTGAAAGAAATAGAGAGAGATTGTGCAGTGTATGTAGGTCGAATGGAAAGAATTGCCCGATACAGTTCCATAAGCAAGGAGGAAAAGGTAAATGAATAAAAGAATAAAGACCTGATTGATGGGAGGTTTTTTTAATACTAATTTTTCATTTTTGTTGTAATTTGCAAGAATTTGTATTTATGGTCAAAATTTCTTCATTGGTCAATTGCTGTTTGATTGTTATCGCAGCAAATAAACTTATTTAACGTAGCTTTTAAAAGTATAGGTGGTGTCTTGTCATTTGTTGGGATTTTCATATACTAAATGAGTTTTGGACTTCCATCTTAGTTCTTTGCAGCAGCAGATTTGCCCTCCCACTAAAAGGTGCTCAAAAGATTGTTAGATTCTAATTAAACAAATGTGGCAAGCTAATTAGTAGCCAGATAAGACTCTTCTAATAATTTGCATAGCTAATTGTTTTTTCAAAACTCTTTTAGTTATAAAGAGACTTTCAGACTATAAAGAGACTTCAGACTATAAAGAGTCTTTCAGACGCCATCAATATAGGTGGATTTGGTTTGTTGTAAGGTCTGGAGTATCAACTTTCAATATTAGTTTATAGACTTTCCATTTAATTAATTTCTTTATTCATATTTCTGTACTGTAATCATAGATTAATAACCGTTATAAAGTGTGTACCTGTCTTTGTGACAGTGTATTTTCAAGTGTATTTTCAAATAGAAAAAATTCCCACCTGTATTTTTGTTTGTTTGGGGTTTTTTTTAGGATTTGCGCATGGAAATAGCCAAACAAGAATTAATCGTTCATGCTCGAGAAACTGCTAGTAAAGTACTAAAAGCCATTAATGGTAAGTTGTGGTGGTGTTTCATGTGTTTTCTGGTGGTGTTAATGTAAACTAACAGTATCTTTATTTTAATACAGATCGACAAATATCAGAACGAATGGCTTTGGATGCAAAGAAACGGGAACAGTTTCAGAAACTGAAAGAGCAATTTGCAAAAGACCAAGAGGTATTTCTGTGTGTGTTTCTAAAGGCCAACTGTATTTCTTAGGCAAATAATTGAAAGAATATCTTGATTTATTGTAGTGAAGTTGAATAAATAGCTCATGCGGTACAAATAAGAACTTCTTGCAGATGTGTGCTTTACAGCTGGTATTGAGAGTGGCTTTTAAAAGTGTTTAAATATTTATGCAGCGTCGCCTTGCAATAAAGCAAGAAGAGATTGATGATGATTTCAGCTATGCCCGAGAGCTCAGAGAGAGAGAAAAAAGACTGAAAGCTTTAGAAGAAGAACTGGAAAAAAAGGCAAGGTAAATGTTTCTGAGTAGTCACCCAAAGCTTAGATACTCCAAAACCTTCATAAAGTTCTCAGGAAAAGTTCCTGTATATTAAAATTTATGGTACTAGCAGTTCCCAGGCATTGCTCTACAAGGGTAGTGTTTGCAGTTAAAAGATGGATGTGAAGATTTTTGGTAATCTGTGAAGAATTTTCTGATTTAGGAATGGTTAGTGGCCCAAAAATCTGGGACCCACTGATTTGCGCCAAGCCGATCCAGTCTGTCTTTTGTTATGATCAGAACTTCAGGAAAAAAAATTAACTATGTCTTACAATTAAAAGCTGAGCCCACAGCAAAAATGGTCACATGTATGTCAAAGCAGAAGTAAAAAGCAGATGGAGGAGTTAGATTTATAATTATTTGAATTGCTCTTGTGCATTTAGTTGTATTTCACTTTCTTCTGTTATATCTAAAAACACAACGATAAATGAGTGACCTACTAAAAACAGTTATAGAAATACATATTGACTGAGAATACAGTTTTCTCCTTATGTTTTCTCCTTATGTTTTCTCCACCTGTTTATTCTCTGTGATTGAAGCCTCTGGCTTCTACTTTTAAAAAATTGCTTCTCATTTCTGAAGTGCTAAAAAGTCATCTTCTTTAGAAGGGAAGATGAAAATCAGTATGTGAAAATCTGTAACTTAGCTTTATTTTTACCTTCATTTAGGCAGGAATTAATTGACCATTATAGCAAACTTTCTGATGATGCAGCCCGTAGGGAACAAAGAGCGTTATGGAAAATCCAGCGACACAAGTTGGAAACAGCCCGTCTTAAGTTTCTGTTAGAAGATCAGAAACGCATCGAGGTATCTTCTGAAAAGATTTAAGAAATGTAATTTAGAAAATTTGGTACATGGTTCTTAAAAACTTTTGGTTTTGTCATTTTTACTTACAGGAAATGCTTGAAAAACTTCCAGATGGAAACTACAGGAGAAAATTGGATATTATTCCTTATAAACAGTGCCAGCTGGCTTTAGATAAAAACCCTGTTGTGAAAGATCCACATTCACAGGTGAGTTTATTTTCTTACGTAAATTCCAGGTTGCTGTTCCAAGTTTCCCTCAAGGGAGTTCATTACATGGTTCATTTCGGTTCAGTAAACACAAGGTTCACTATAACAGCAGAGTGAGTAGTTATCACATTATTTGTAGGACATCTGAAAAAATATTTTAAATCTTACTTGTAATAAAGTAGCTTGATAATGTGACTAGCCATACCATGTAATAATTATTTCTTCTTTAGGTGTCTTCTGTGAAACCTCTGCATTCTAATGAGACAGTTGGCAGAAAAGAATCTGAGCCTGGACTGGAACATGGAGCTTCTGCTGACAAAGCACTGCCCATGCCAGAGCTGACAAATAATAATGCTGATCAGCATTTTCAGCCTAAAGCAGCAGGATCTGAAAGCAGTCTCCGAAGTTCAGAAGCAGCATACAGTCGTCTATACAGTGCTGATTCCTTGCCTGAATCCACTGTGAATATAGGAGATTTCTTATCAAAGCCACAAGATGAGCAACCTGTTGCCGTTGGCGTACAAGGATCTTTGCTAGATGAAGCATTCCAAAATATTAACTCAGATCTTTCTGAGACTTCTCAAGTAAGTGCAAATCAGCCTATCTTGAGAGGAGCATTGGAAGGAGAAGACAATGCACCATTGCATCAGCAAAATGAGTATGATTTTAATACAGTTCTCAGACCATCTGCAGCTTGGCAGGGACATGTTAGAGTTGGAGAAAATGTATTTGATACGGAGTACAGAAGGCCTCGGTGGAATATTCAGGGACATGCATCTGATGCCAACATTAGAGTGGGAGAATATGTACCTCATGTGGATGTGTACCAGCCACATTCAAGCCCTTACGGGCATTCTTCAGACTCCCATATAAAAATCAGCAGCTATACTTCTGAAGTTGAATCCAGCCGACCCCGATGGAATATTCATGGGCATGTTTCTGAAGCTCATATTAAAATTGGGGAGTATGCTTCAGAAGTAGAGCCCTCAAGGCCTAGGTGGAACATTCACGGACATGCTTCGGAAGCCAATATTAAGATTGGAGAGTATGTGTCAAATGTAGCTCCTACAAGGCCTCGATGGAACATCCATGGTCATGCATCTGATGCCAACATCAAGATTGGTGAAAACGTGTCAGAGGTGGTCTCAGCTAGACCTCGTTGGAACATCCATGGGCATGCTTCACAGTCGCACATCAAAATTGGAGAACTGGTTTCAGATACAGAGCCTTTGAAATCTCGTTGGAGCCCGTTTGGTCACGCATCCCAGTCAAGCATCCAAATAGGGAAGTGGGCCCCATCTACAGAAAATGATCCAATACCTCATCGTAAAACCATTTCAGGTCCTTCATCTGACTCCACAGTTCAGACACTTCTGTACAGTGAAGAATTATCACCTGGTGAAGGGAGCAGAAAGGAAGCAAAAATGTCACACGTTAAGGAAGAGACTTTGCCACAGTCGCAATCATCTGACAGTGTTCCAGTCTTTTCTGATGCTAATATTAAAGATGACAAAAAAGAAAATATAACGGAAGAGAAACGAGAAGGTAAAATAAAATTAAGTTTATTCAGTCAGCATTTGTTTAAGGGCTCATGAAAATAACTGTAAATGTTTATGTTCAAAATGGGTACTTATTACTTAATTCCTTGCATAACTTTTCAGACTCTGTTAGAATTCAGAGGAAAGAACTTGAGCTTAGTCTTGTCTCCTATATACAAGAAACAGAGCATGAAAAAAATTCTAGCCTGAAACTTTGTGAAACAGGACCTCGTGTGATCTCGAGTAGAGAACACGCATAAAACTGCCTGGTGGGACTATGGGGAAGAGACTGCTATTGGGGTGGTTGTTTCAGTGATAGTCTGTAGAGAAATTCTGAAGAAATTCAGGAGCAGATCTGAAGTATGAACCAAGTATTATAAGCAGGTCTAAGTAAATGCTGTCTTTAATTTACTTGTAATTACAGTAATTGCAGATGTGGTCAACAAGGACCCTTCTCCAGATTCCTCACAGAGCTTACAGGTAAGAAACAAAGTAGTTGTTGAGAAGACTTCCTTTTCCTTTGAAGGATTAAACGCACTGGTAGTTAAGGTAATAAGTTTCTGTCCTCTGTCCTAGTCTAGTAATCACTGTAATACCATGTTGTTTTTACATGTCAGAAAGGGTCAGGTGAGTAAGCTCTTATTTTCAGTTGGAACAACTAGTCAATTACCTGTAAGAACACAGTAAATGTGAGTAGACAAAGCCAGCATCTCTCATAAAATTTGTCCCTTTTTTTGTTTTAGGCAGAAGAACCTGAAAAAGCAATTCCAAAAGATACTGTGCCTCAGGAAACTTCATTTTCTGAAGCTAATGCTCCCAAGACTAAGGAGAAAGAAGGGGGAGAGGAAGATACATGGAAGAAAGAACAAGCTTATTTGAAAGCCTTATCGGATCAGTATTGTATTGAAAAATATCAAGATAGTTATGATTTGATGTGTGAGTAGAACTGTTGGAACAGTAGATCAGTAGAAGATGTGGTAAACTTGAGCAAGAAAGCTGAGTGCCAGAAAAAATACCTGAATTACCAGTAAATTACCAATATTACGAACTGCAGTAGCTAAACAATTTGCTTTTAGGCACAAAGATGAGAAACACATTTTGACACGTTATGATTTTCTAACCTAGAGGGGTTTGTAGAGTTTAATAGAAACAGATTATCAAATTGGTTAAATATAAGAACTTACAATGTTTATATATTTTTAAATTTAGCAGAACTACCAGTTTCTCATCTCTTGCATCATGTGATACCAAGATCGTACACTTTTCCTGTGGATCCTACGGTACAGTCAGCAACAGATGAAACAGCTGTACAGCTGAGTGAGCTCTTATCTCTGCCAGTGCTGATGAAACGTTCCATTACTGCTCCACTTGTATCTCAGTGAGTATTTGTTAGAAATAGTGAATCCATAATTTAGCAATTAATGTCGTGTTCTTTATTAGTTCTTTTTTGAGACAAGAGTTGCTCATAGATCTGTTCTCTTAAATTTTCTCTTTGCTCCCAGAAGTGGTTCAGTGGGTAGTCCATTACTGACTAAAAAGTTCAGATTTACATTATAAATAGTAACATAAACTTATATTTTTATGTGTAAATTAAAAATTTGAAGGTCTATTTGAAATACAAGGGCTTGGAAGGAAGTAGATTATGCAGCAGTGGTTTTGACACCATGGGTTTCCTTGTTCTTGTAGAAAGGAGGTGTATTATTTATAATTGTGCTAGTTTTTATTTGTCAGATGAAAGATAAGGGGAAAAAAAAAGAAAAATCTTTTATGTAGAAGCTCATGCATATTGTTCAGGATATATTTTATGTCCCTATGGGAACTCCAGCTTCAAGGCTGTTTTGAAGTTTAATAGAAGCTGTTCTTGTTGCTTTTGGACTGTACAGGGAAATCACATAAATGTTGGACCATTTCTTAGTATATCTAATGGTATTTTAAAGAGAAGTTTTTGTTATTATGTACAAGATTAGCTTCTGTCATGAAAGCAGTTATTCACAGATGTGTTGAAATGCTTCCTGTTTTGAAATCTACTTTCTTGTAAGTTTGGATTTCCATTTACTAACTATGAGTATGCTATACTCAAAGTTTGGTGCAACGTAGAAAGATGTAATTATCTAACTTAGTTTTAAACATCCAGATTGGCTACCAGAACAATCTGTATACAGATTCATGTATTCAGCAAAGCAAAGTAAGTGAGCCTGAGTTGCGTACTGGCAGAATTAGCCTATGCCTGATATGCAAGTTAAATTATTTAGAGCTAGTTTGAATACCTACACTACACTGCAAACTGTAGTGTAGACCTGCCCTCAATATCTAGTGTTAGAGTTTTACCAATTAGGATATTCTTCTCAGGGATTTAATAGTCTTTCTTAATCTGTTTGTGTAGGTGACAGAGATAAGACAGAAGACTATTGATAAAATGTTGCTCCAGGCCCAGCAGCATGTTCTAAAGATCATTATATGTAGCCAGTCTTAAAATACTTCCACAGTACCATTCAAAACCCAGTTATCTGAAGTGGTAGGTTTTAATTCTGGTATGTTTTGGATGAAGGCTTTTTTTGTCTCTCTTTTTTTTTTTCTTTTTTTTTTTTTTTTTTTTTTTTTTTTTGCTTATGTGAATATCATCCTGTCTTGGATATCAGTTAAGTACTGGAGCATTAATCTGATGTAGCCACAGCTGAACGTTAACAGTAAGGAAGGAGTTGCTTGTAAGAATAATACCTTTTTTGTGTTTTTATTCTTAGTGTTTCTCTTGTGAACAAAGCAATAGTTGATTACTACTTTGTGGAACTGAATGTAGAGAAGCATTTTGAAGCACTGAGACACTTTTTGTTAATGGAAGACGGGGAGTTTGCTCAGTCACTCAGTGACCTGTTGTTTGAGAAGGTATTTGCTTTGTCTTAACCCTTGTTTTTGGGTTGTCTGCTTTTGCTTGACACCTCTGGATTAATTTAGATGGGAATGAGGGAATGGTGTGAATTAGAATCCTGGCTTGTGCTGTTTTCCTTGAAGTCTTGTAGCAAGGAACTCTGTTAGTGTTGTAAGGACTGAGGCAAAAGAAGGTCGTTGCTGGGAGGGGATGCCCATGCCCAAGGAAGTCCCAAGGAAGAGAGTAGTATTTCCTACTGCTAATGCCAGCAATAGAGAGACTACAAGGATGTGGCACATTGGGGATAATAATTTCAGACTGTGACAGATAAGTAGTCATGGAAGGGTATTTCACTCTTCCCTGTGAAAACTGCTGCACTATTGCTCTGTCCCCTCCCACCTGCTGGCAGCAAGCCTGGAAGAGCCTGTTGCCATTTGCTAAAATGCAGTGGAAAGGCCTGTGTTGCAAAATACCTACTCTTACCTCAAATATCCTGTAGAGCAGAGGGGAGAGCATCTGAAGAGAGTGCTGGGCCCCCCTGATGAAACTGTATTGTTGTTACTTACCCCTGTGTTCGTGGGGAAAACAGCAAGGTAGGCAGGATAGCCTGTGTTGCCAGTGGAGATACGTGGCTGTAGGATAGTTAATGCTTTAGACCCAACTGGGGAGAGCACTTGGGGGTTTAGACTCGATGAATAGCTTTATTTGTAAACCTCTGAGGGTGCTGAGTTGATGAGATAGGCGGATCGGAGTCAGATAGATAGTACCAGTCCTGTCGCTGGCTTTCTGCCCCACTAAGGCCTAAAGGCTGTATTCCCTGCAGTAGGGATGTGTAGCAGTTCCTGAACCACAGCAAACTGCAGTGCAACGTATCAAAATAAATCAGTACAGGTGTGAGATTACCTTCATGCTGTCAATAGCAAATAGTTCAGAAGTTGCTTCTTATGCCGTTTTATGTGTCCCTACGGCAGAAGTAGAAACTTCCACTCAGAATGGTGGAGCAAGGTGGGATAGTCACCACTTTACCATTCTGCTTTAATTCACCTGTGTTCAGGAGCCAAGACTATTTATACTGTGTAATTAGGATTTTTTTTTTTCTTTTACCCCTAGCTTGGATCAGGACAAACACCTGGTGAATTGCTGAACCCACTGGTTCTTAATTCTATCCTAAATAAAGCATTACAGTACAGCCTTCATGGTGACACCCAGCTTGCTTCCAATCTCTCTTTTGCCCTCAAGTACCTTCCAGAAGTGTTCAAGCCCAATGCGCCTGATGCTCTGAGTTGCTTAGAGCTAAGGTACAAGGTAAGAAAGCATGGAGAATGGTAGTAGTACTGCAATTATGCCATGGTTCTTACGTACTGTGGTAGAATGAATATGTTCTTAATAATGGAATACCTTTAAGAATGGAGTCAAAACATTACGTAATGGAAATTACCGGTTTTACTTAGCCTGGCCATTGCATTAGATTATTAAAATACATATATTAATTTGTATGTCCCTGAAATACTTGTATCTGAAATATTCTTATAATTTCTAGCACAAAAATGTTGTATGATCAGTACTGTTATTTCTTTTAGGTTGATTGGCCTCTGAACATTGTCATTACTGAGAGCTGCATGAATAAATACAACAAGATCTTCTCCTTTTTGCTTCAGCTGAAGCACATGGTGTGGACTCTCAAGGATGTTTGGTTTCACTTAAAACGCACTGGTAAGTCTAATGAGTGAACTAGAGAGCATCCTGTTTAAAATGCTTTTAGCATGCTGTGCTAGACAATTGCTTACGAACATTCATGTCAAGCTTCAAAAGCCACAATTTTTTAAAGAAACTTCCTGGCATTTTAAACAGACTCTGCTAACAAAAACCTCATACCTTTAAAAATCCTGATTTTAGACAGTCTCCATGGGTGCTGATGATAATATATTTCTGGTTTTGTTTTCAGCTTTAGTGAGTCATGCATCAAATTCCGTTCAGTTTCGACAGCTCCAACTGTATAAACATGAAATGCAGCATTTTGTGAAAGTTATTCAAGGTTACATTGCTAACCAGATTCTTCATGTTACATGGTGTGAATTTGGAAACAAACTGTCTTCTGTAGGCAACCTGGAAGAAATTCACAGAACACATGCTGAATACCTCAACAAAGCAATCTTCAGGCAAGCTACCATACTTATTTTTGCTTCAAATATTTAGGTTAATGGAGCTGCCAGTCTAGCCTAACATATTTGTGCAAAAGTGACTTCTACCTGACATAATAAGTAGTCTTTACATATGAGTGTTCTTATGTAAGGGAAACAAACTTCATGGCACGTTATGACGTCCACACTTTGATGCTTTTCCTCAGCTACCTAGCCTCTTCGTTTCCCCAGACTCCTTTGGAGCTGCTTCCAGCTCCTGCTCACCCTGCCTCTGCAAGCTTCAAGTCCACTCAGGACAGCTCTAACCTGAAGACTAAGGGCGCACTTGCTGCAGTTCTGTTTTTCTTTCACCCCATCCTTGTCATAGCCTTTGTAAATGAATGCTGTTTTGTTCGGCATGAGTAGTGTGCACAAGTAAGCCTAGCTCAGGGATTGTAAAATGCTTCTTCTGTACATTATATATACCTTTAATATATGTGCAGTGACTAGGACTGGACTTTGAAGGAACAAATGTGACCTGATGCCTCTGTCCAGATTTATGAACAGTGCAAGAGATATCTGTCTTTTAGGAATCATAAGCTCTTAGCCCTTTGGTTACTGTATATGAGGCAGAAGGGTGGTGTGAATAAGAGGAGAGAAGCTAGGGTTTATTTGGTTTCTTAAAAAGTATGCACTGGAATGATAAAGTGGGGAGATGGAGGGGAAGAGATGATGAAGAACAGAAATTATAAACAAGAAAAGAAATCTGTTGTTTCATGTCTCCGTCTTTCAGTTTTAATAAGAAAAAACTTGGCTAAAGCTGCTGTTTGGATACCAGGTGATGCAATGAGAGGGGATTAAAGTTTAAGGAAACCCAGAGCATCATAATGTTTTTAAACATCATTTCTTTTGCAAATGCAGATGTCATTCTAGAAATCAGATACACCAAAGCAAATACCAGATTCTTGGAAGTGCAAGCAAATTATGTTAGGCTTAGGCACATTTTTTAAAATCACTATTACAGTTGGCTGCAATCTTGGGGATTTTTTTTTTTTTTAAAGCAATTAAAGAGGAAACCTAAAGTATTGTCACCCCTTTGTATTTTTCTTCCTACAACCAATAAACTATGTCAACTAGATTTCTAAAGTTGTTTTTGTTCTGTTAGGGGTCTGTTGACAGAGAAGGCAGCCCCGGTGATGAACATTATACACAGCATCTTCAGCCTCATTTTGAAGTTCCGCAGCCAGCTGATCTCTCAGTCATGGAGCTTCGATGCAGGGAAGCAAATGGCTGTTCATCCCAACTTTGGTCTGATGCAGCAGTCATACAATACCTTCAAGTATTACTCCCACTTCTTATTCAAAGGTAAGAAATTGCATACATTCTAGATAGAAGAAAAAGTCAACTGACAACTGAAAAAATTACAAAGAGGTTTTAGAAGTATAACGTAAGAGTAGGAAGATGTGTGTCCTTAGCATGTGTTAGAAAATGTAGTTCCCAAATGAAACTGCATTATTGTGGTTTGCAAAGATCTGCATATCCATGAATTAAAATGTCCACACAAGAAATCTAACAGATATCCCCAAACTGACCATAAGTTTTTGCTACTTTGCAAAACAAGTATTTTGTATGTAGCTCTAGCAAATGTGCTTACATTTTACTTTTCTCTGGAATTGAGTTCTGGAACTTTTTATTGGCCGCAATGAGAGATAGTTAGATACCACTTAGAAGTAATTTTAGATATATCTGCATCAGTTGATATTACCATTGTTACGAGATTTGAAAATTCTGATTCCCATGTTGGACTAGAGCTTAGAGAGCCTCTTAGCACTAATTGGAGCTTATATCCAGTGCTCCAGGCAAGTGTTTTTCAGCTGCACAGATCATTTGCCAAATGTTCTTTCCTTAACACAATAAAATTTCTTCGCACTGTCAGCTTAGCCTGTAATGTGAAGAAATGGTTGATCTGTCTTTCCTCTCCATTTCTCTTTCAGATCTTGCTTGTGTTTTTAGTAGAAGTTACTTATTGTTCCCCTGAGTACAAAGGTGGTTCATGGGGATTGGGTTTGGTTTTTTTTTTTAAAATCCCTTAAATCCTGAAGGAAGTGCAACTGTTTTCCTTAGGTCTATTTTCTAGAGTATTTTCTAGTTAGACTATATTCTTCAGGAAATCAGCTGCCCTTTTTATTCTTTAAGGGTGTCCAAAAATGGTGTCAAAGGACCAAAACCAGATATTTCAGGATGAGTTAGAATGGCTGCTTCCAAATTCTACAGGAAGTCAGAACACCACTGGGAGCCACCTAAGCCCATACTACGAGATCTATGGTTGCTTCATGGACAGAGATTAATAGACCATTCCGTAAGGAAATTTGCCAAGTGACCTAGTTCTTTACACCCTCTTTATTAAGCACCACAAAACAAATGCGTGCTTGTTCATCTACACTTGTTCCTTCAGTCACCGTGTATTAAAATGCTCTGTTTCACAATGGGTTGATCCAGAATCCATTGAAAGCCAATACAAAGTAGTCTGGACTTCAATGGCTTTGGCTCAGGCCCTAACTTCTAACTGTACACTTTCCCTTCTTCCTTGCATGTTACTGCTGCTTGCTAATTCCCTTTATACTGGTGCATGGGATGTTTATGAGCTTAGGGAGTTTCTATTGCCTTTTTTCCTTTGTTACTAAGGATGTTTAGAGCAGTTGGTTTGTTCATTCATAGAGCTTGAGGGGTTTGTCCCAGGAGTTCCTCTTTGTTTTTTCTTTCTCACAATGGACTTTGTTCAAGAAGACTTCACCAGAGCTTCTTCTTTCACAGAGGTCACCAGGGGACCTAAACATGCTTCCTGGTCAGTTGACATTATGATAGGAACATACTGTCTTACTGTGAAAGCAGCTTGAGAAAGCATTTCTTTATTAGAATAATGCAGCTTCACTTAGAACTGACATGTAATCCTTCTCTTCCATCTTCTTTGAAATACTTTGTAATTCTAGAAAGAGATACTGGACCTTTCTTATGCACAAACAGACATGTGTTTCATTGTTTTCAAATTTCTGCATTAGGCTTCTTTTTTTTTTTTTTAAATTAAAATGCACAGATACTGTCAAGACTGACTTTAGAATATTAATCTTAGTTGAAGCTTATTTTATTTTTCATTTTTGTTTTTCTTCCAGTGGTAACAAAGCTTGTAAATAGAGGATACCAACCACATTTGGAGGACTTTCTACTGCGAATCAACTTTAACAACTACTACAAGGATAACTGAACTCTATAGAGTAAGGATCACCAATAGCATGGTAAAACAGAAACAGATAACCCTATATGCTTATGATTTATAGAAGCTTATGCAAATGCCATGCAAGAGGCATTTTTCTTCAGTGAAATAACCTGCCATCTAATAGCTTGAAGAATATAACCACCACGTACATAAAATCCACCACACCTACCTGGTTTTTGATCTACTGAGAACTGATGTTGTCACTATTGCAAGGATAGAAAAGCTGAGTGCCTGGTCTTAACAGGGGAGAGGGTGCAAAACTGTATATCTGTGAATGTGTAAATGTTGTATTTTCAGTGTTGTGAATTTCCTCCAATGTAAATACACGTATGTGAAATAAATTAACAGATACTTTCTAAAACTGTGGAGAGATGAGCATGAGGTACAGATATTCAGAAGACATGAATACCTATTTGATGTGGTTTATTTTGAAACTGATATTAATTCTCAGTCTAAAAATAACTAATTTCTTCAAGGCTATTAGTCACAGTGGAAGAGGGCATGATAAAAACACCTTGCAGGGAGGAGATCTGCTAGGAGAGACACTATTTGACTATTCAAGCAGTTGGTAATTATTGGATCACTTGTGACAAACTTTTAGTTTCCTTATCCCTGATTTAAGCTATACACCTTATTTTGTGGTGATGATGTAAAACACCTAAAATGGAAATTCAGCATCACTAAAGTGAAACAAAGCTCTGATTCCAAATATATTCTGACTATTGCTTTCAACAGCAGGATCACATTTTCAGTTTGCTAATGATTTTCCTTCCCCTTGATGTTTTCTTCTTTTCCTTTCTATATTATGAAGTTAAAAGTTCAATTGTCTGTTTTCACGGTACAAAAATACTGTAGAGAGACATTCGGCTTTGAAATTTTCAGCTTTACAATATGTTGGTTTTGAGATCCTGAAGTCACTTAAAATGTGGATGTGTTCCTCAGGAGCTCGTTGTCTGATTAGTGGCCACCTATTTAAAAGGACAGGCACAGCTAACATGTTACCCATACTGTGGAATAGCGAATATGATTATTTTCTGATGATGTGTAGGTAGTTTTATGGTTTGGGTTCTTTTCTGGTTTTTTTCCTTCCTGAAATAGAAATGAAGCATTAGAGTCAGAATATACCAACTGTAAAGTTGACCTGAGTGCTTCTGCTCTGGTACCAAAGTCAGTATAAAAATGTGGTAATGCACATCTCTGCCATTCCTTTATCAGTGCTATATTTTAATTAGCTAGCTTCCTTCTGGTCTACAGAATAGGAGATTGAAGGAGCAAGTGGCTGGCAGCTGGAGCTATTCTGTTGCCGGGGCAGGTGGAGAGCTGTTTGTCTACCTAACTTGCTCGCCAGGAACTTGGAAGTCCAGGTGCGGATGTGCAAGCTTGCCCTCTCTTGCAGACCGATGCCTTGTCGTGAGGCATGACTGCCCACTAGAGAGCAGCCACGCAGCTTCTGCAGGGAGCAAGGAGCTGATGTTTGGGTCCTTGGAGCTTGGCACTGCAGTCTAACTGTAGAAAGATGAAGTTTCAGCTTTCCCATGAACCCTGTGTAACTCCTGGAGGAAGGGCACACCAGCTGCCTGCAGTCACCTCTGTGAAATGCCTGAAGTGCCTTAGATGGCCATTGACATAGGCAGCAAAGAGAGGGTAGAAAGAGGGAAGAGGGAAAATGGGATGCAGAGCACCTAAATTAAACCCCTGGTACCATTATACAAGAGGAGCAGCCTTCCCTCTGTTGACTTCTAAAGGAGTCCTATATGGTGAAGGAAAAGGAGAGCAAGATTAGCAATAAAAATCAGACTTCTGAAATGCAAGCCGTGAGTACTGCTTATCGTCAGCCCACTGCATATTAATGCAAGATTCCTTTGTATGGTGTGACAGAACTAGCCTGCCATTGCTACACTTGTAGCATGCGTCATCCCTCCTGTTGGTGAAAGATACACTAAACTGCCCTAAAACAAATAGGTCCTCTTAAATTTAATCTGATGTGCCTTATTTTTTCCTAATCCTGTGTACTCTTGCCATCTTCATATTTCTAATTTTCAAACATTTATAAAGATAATGATATTTTTTGGGGGGGAAGGGGGGGTGGCCTTGAGAGAGCTGTTCCAACCTCAGCTCTTCTGCGATCCTTCTGGTTCAGCTTAAATGCTGCTGCTTGAATTTGTTTGCCTCACACCCAGCTCTGTAATGCTGATCATTTTACCAAATGCATCCTTTTTCATACACCTTGTGAAAAGTCTAGCAGCAAAGTTAGGACTTTAGGTGCAGTCTTGCAGCTATGAACTGCTTCCTTACAGACAAAAGCCTTCAGAAAAAAATGAGAGCAAAGTATGGAAATTAAGAAACACACACCACCCCACCCCACCCCCCCCCATTTTTGTTGCTGAGCACGATGTTATATGGCATGGAATAGCCCTGGGTTAGCTGTGTCCCCTCCCAACTTCAGGGGCAGCATGAGAGGACGGGACAGCCTTGAGAGAGTGCAAGCACCCCTCAGCACTAGCCAAAACACTGCTGTGTTATCAGCCCAGGTTTAGCTGCAAATCCAAAACACAGCCCCATACAGGCTGCTATGAAGAAAGTTAACTCCATCCTGTCCAGGCACTGCACAAAGTAAAACTAATTTTGATTTCGTAGATACTGCTTGTTGGGAAAGGGCAGTTAGGAAATACCAAGAATGACCTCAAACTAGAAAAACTAATGTGTACTTTCAACTTTGTGATGCTATGTGAGCTCTTCAGTATAGAAGTGAGTATAGTGGCTCCTTGCTTTTCTGCACAGTAAACCGTTTAAGTGCAGTGGACTGAAAGTTATCCAGAAACATCTACAAATCAGAATTTTGATCCACACCTTGGCACTGGTAACTCCTAATTGAAGGCAGAAGGGTGAAGCACCCACAGCCAGCTTGACCTCCTTTTGCGCTGGCTTCAGTCGTTGATGAGGGAGCTGCTATCTCTACTTCTGGAGAACAAGGGTGGATGGATCACCTTTTTTTTCTTGGCTGTGGCTGGAGAGAACAGAGGGGAGAAGCCAGCTTATTACAAAACAGGAGCACTGTAATGCCAGTCTTGGTGCTGAATTCGTTAACTCCCAAAAAGAGCATTTCAGATACGAGCTTTCCTGCCTGACAGCCATGGGGGAAAGGCAGAGGGCCGATGGAAGCACGCGCTGCTTGGCCCAGCTGGCTGACGAGGCAGAAGCTGCCAGTGACTGACCCCACCACTGCCCGCAGCGTCAGCCCGGGGTGCTTTTCATTTCTGCGCGCAGCTCGTGCATCACCGCAGGGAGCTGCTTCGGGGATGGAAGCCCTGCTCAGGCGCCAGCCAGGCCTGGCAGCCAGCACAGCTTTGCCATCATCAGCGAAATCACCTCATCTCTCCGTGCCTCGGGTTCTCCACCTGAAAAATGGTAACATCATTTCTCTTTCTTTGTAAAACTTCTTCCTTTTTAAAAAGAAAAATGGAAGCAAATGCCATTTAAATATCAATTTTAACTATCTATTGTTCTAGTGTATTATTAAAATGTCAATTTCTGGAGTTGATTTAAGGAAAAAAAAATAGGAAAAACATGAGATTTTGTAGGTCAGCTTAGCCTACTAAAACTGTTTCTACTTAAACAAAGTATCAGTAAATCTCACCTCCGGGTTTACCGGCTGAATGTGCAGGCTTAGCAAGAGCTCTGCAGTGCCATGGCACTGTCCTTCCCCAGCCAAAACAGCAGCAGGGGAGGAAAGGAACAGTGCAGACCTTCAGATTTTTTACATGCCTTGGCTGTGGAGACAGATAAGCCTGATTTTTTTTTCCCTTGGGTTTCTGCTCCCGTGCTAATTAGGCAGATACTCTGTTTTTACAGTGATTGGTTATTTATTATGCTGTTGTGGTTTAGCCCCAGCCAGCAACTCAGTACCACGCAGCCGCTTGCTCACTCCCCCTACCCCGATGGGATGGGGGAGAGAATCGGAGGAGTAAGAGTGAGAAACACTCCTGGGTTGAGATAAGAGCAGTTTAATAATTGAAATAAAGTAAAATAGTAATGCTAATAGTAACAGTATAATAATGGTAATAATAATAATGATACACGAAGCAAGTGATGCACAATGCAATTGCTCACCACCCGCCGACCGATACCCAGACAGTTCCCGAGCAGCGATCGCTGCTCCCCGGCCAACCCCCCCCAGTTTCTATACTGAGCATGACGTCATATGGTATGGAATAGCCCTTTGGTCAGTTTGGATCAACTATTCTGGCTGTGCCCCCTCCCAGTTTCTTGTGCGCCTGGCAGAGCATGGGAAGCTGAAAAAGTCCTTGACTAGCATAAGCAGTACTTAGCAACAACTAAAAACATCAGCATGTTATCAACATTCTTCTACTAAATCCAAAACACAGCACTATGCCTGCTGCTAGGAAGAAAATTAACTCTATCCCAGCCGAAACCAGGACATATGCACAAGAAAAAAAAGGCAGTCTATAGCCATGTACTGTCTGGAAGTTTATCACTACCCCAATGTCCTTTGATTTATATGCCATGGTACCTGTCCCATGTCACGGGACAGCTGCATCCCTCGGTTGTAAGGCTGATTTAGGGGCTGGGGAGACCAGAGGTGCTGAAGGGCAGGCAGGGAGGGTGGGCAAAGGCAGGGTTTTGATACAGTTGCAAGCAACTGAGCACTGCCACTGCACCAAAAAAAAAAACCAAAAACCCACCCAACCCTCCCACTTTATGTATGAAGCATAAAGCCAAATGAAAAGAACACGTAACATAGGTATTGGTTGCATTAGTTAGAATATAGCCTCACTGTGTGATCTTATACTAGATGTGATAGCATTGTGAAACCCTCCCATTGGGTTTACATCCATTACCCTCAAGTATCGCCTGGTCTGGAGGGGTAAGCGCAGGTTATTGCCTCTACCTGTCTCATACTGACTGTCATCGGAGGTGAAGCTGCCCCGGTCCCATCCACCTGTGTAATGGAGCTGGAGGGTCTGCTAAGAACGGGCCTTGTGGCTGCTTGGCGTCATCTAGCAGGCTGAGCGTGTGGTGGTGCGTGATTTAATGAAGGGTGCTGTGACGCACTCAAGCGTGCGAAGCATGGATCTGAAAGTCAACTCAGGATAACGGAGGCCCGAATTGGCTTTCAGTGGACCCTGGGGGTTGCCTCAGCCCTTTGCTTGGATGTACTCTATGCAAAGGGAAAAGCAGCAGGTTTGGCCTAAACCCACTTCCACTACAGACAAAGAAATGGAAATGCAGATTACCAGACACAGTCCTGTTCAACAGAGACTTTGCAGTGTGGAGGTTTACCCCGCTTGAAGCATCCTGAGGAGCCACATGTCCATTCAGGTTGGAAAGCGAGCTACATCA